ACTGTATACATTACAGGATGAGCCAGGGTTTCTGTAAAAGATAAAGATTATTCGTCGATGTGGTATAAAATTATAAAGAATATCCGATACTAGGATACAATTTATGTCTTGGGCAAATGGTATTTAAATCTGTGCAACGATTTAAGCATGAACACGTAATATTAATAATTTATATGGATATATTTGGATGGATTTATATATTTGAATTTGATTTATTTGTTTGAATTTGAATGAATTTCAAATTTTATTGACTATTCAAAAGGGCTTATAATAAGTCTAATTGAATAAAGTTTATTTCATTTCATTTGAATGCACCAATCCCTGCAGCTACCAGTGCGACTTGAAAAAATATTTTTTCAAATTATAGCTTAGTACCCGGGCGACCTAGCTTCACTCGGAGTTTTTGGCCAAAAGTATAATTTTCTTTTTAATTTAGCTTAAAAACAAAAAAAAACTTGAATAAATACAAAAAAAACCCAAAAAGAATACAAGTAAAAACTTTGTATCCGACCGGGTTTCGAACCCGGATACCTGTGGAAAACTCAAAACACGCGTTTTCCCAGACATAAGACTAATCGAGATCGATTTTTCGCCTCCGAAAACACCCACTTACCATTTCAGCGAATTCGTTATAGCCGTTTTCGAGATTGCCGGTATAAATAAATAAATAAATAAATATACAAGAATCGCTCGTTTAATTAAATATATTATCAATAACTAGATATTAATAAATTATTAATAATGCCCAAAATTTCATTTAAAATTGAATTGCAAAAACGAGCTCACTAGGTCATGATGCCCGATCACTCTATAAGAGTTTTATACGGAGCTCTAACAAGTGTCTTGCAGGAGATGATTCAGTGGTTAGCTCAAAATACAAGATAACTTTTTCATTTATAACACGCCTTAGACTATGTATGTTGCAAGACATGAGTTTTGGAGACGAGTTAAGCGATGTAAATAAAAAAAAACCAAACCATCTTGAACCGAATTTCATCAAACATAGCTAAGAACACTCCCAACTAATTCACCTTTCAAACAAAAAAAAACAATCAAAATCGGTTCATCTGTTCGGGAGTTACGTTGCCACAGATAGACATACACAGGCACGTCAAGCTTAGAACGACCCGTCGTTTTTGCATCGGGGGTTAAAAATATATTTTAACAAAACTTACCAATAAACAAAAAAAATATTATAAGTAGTCGATACATTTTTGATGATTATATTTTTTATGTTAACATTGCCTTGCTTTATATAGATAACCTGCTCATGAAGGCACTAGCTTATAATTTGCATGCGGTTTTACTTGAAATAAATATTTTTTAACTCAATTTTAGACTTCGAATAATTTAGATAGAAATTATATCACTTTTTCAGCTGAAACTTCAACAACTTTGAAACCAATTTTTTTAAAAGAGCAATTTGCTGAGTTTTAATGCTTCTTTTCAGCACAACTGTATTTCAAGCAAATCAAAGCTACAAAACTAATACTTAATAGAAATAGGAAAAAAACCCGAATCGAGAGTTTAATATTGATTTTGAATACAAATATGTTCTATGTAAGCTACGAGGTCTGTTTTATGGATACCAGATAGTTGATACACTACACATATATAACTTTAAATACATACATATTATAAATAAAACACCCACGACTGGAGTACAAACATTCGTGCTCATCACACAAATGAATGTCCCCAGCGGGACTCGAACCCGCGACCGTTGGCACAACAAGTAAGGTCACTACAAACTGAGCCAAACGTGTCCTCATTACAAACAAACTGATTTACTCAATCGTATTAGTTATTTGCACGTGTATTTAACTTTGCTTGATTAAATTTAGAAATAACATCGAAATCTGCGAAGCGTAAATATCGATGGAAATTTTATTATTTTGTTTGAATCCAAGCATAATTTCATTATGAGAATTGTTTTAAAAGTCACAATCAAAATGGTGTAGATTAAACACATTTATTCATTGTAAGCAGTCGTAGCCTAGTGGTAACACGTTTGCTTAGGAGACCGAGTGAAGCGGGTTCAAATCCCGGGTCTCGCATCTCTCGTATTTTCATGTGCGAATCATTTCTAACATGATTACCACTTGCCTTACGGTGAAGGAAAACATCGTGAGGAAACCTGCATGTCTGAGAGAACCTAGCAAGTTTTCGAAAGACACGTGAAGTCTGCCCGCACTTGGCCAGCGTGGTAGACTGTGGCCTGATCCCCCTCGTATTGAAGGGAGGCCCGCCCACTCCCAGCAGTGGGACGTTAAAAGGGGCTGATTTTTTTTTAATTTTACTTCTATTATAATGCAAAAGTCGCTTAACTCACATAAAAATAAAATTATACATATATTTATGATTACTTCGATTAATGTCTAAAAGGTTTGAAATAAAACATAAGCTAAACGTAGCTTTTTATTTCCAAAATTATCTACATATTGTGTTATTTCTTCTGTTATCTGCTAAGCTACGAGAAAAACCACTAGTATGCTCCATATTTCGCGTATCTTTGAAAATCTGCGCACTAAATTTAGATTACTATTGTTAGGTTAATTATATAGTATTTTAAATAAAACTATCTTGACGAGAGACAGTCCCGAGACCATGATTGCTGTAAAGCATTCGAAACGTTGGCAAAAGGCATTCGAATAAACCGAAAAGATAGTATTACAACTCGTTTTCTCCCATGGCTTCTCTCGCGTGATAAGCGGGGTGGGTATCAAATCTATGTATGTATGTTCCAGCATGCAATCTATGTCCTTGGCAAATATTATCAAAATATGTTCAGTTATTTAAGCGTGAAAAAGTACAAATATTAAATAATATTAGTATGGATGTCAAATATTTTCGTAAATCTAAGATAGTATTACCTATGTATCTATATATCTTTGAAAGAAGATAGGACCTAACAACCTGAGGTTGTAGTGCGCTGGGAGGCAAATCACCCCTTTTAAAATATTAAAATAATCTAAATACCATGGTTTTTTTATTATAATAATTGCACCGTTAAGGGTGAAGTTTTGTTTTTTTTTTGTTATAAGAGACTACCCTGGAGATATAACTTATCCATTAAAAAAATATAAAAACCCCCTACTATTACTACCCCCACTATTACTTCCACGCACCACATAAAGTACTTTTTTAAACGAAACAACGTGCGTTTTAATTTTGTCATCCGAAAAGTAATGTACACAAGAGATTTGAAAAAGCGCACAGTTTCGAATTGTGCACTTCTTTTTGAGGTTACTTTTGAGTGAATTGTTTATCTTGAGTTTTTGTTTAATGCATAAACAATAAAATATGGACGAATTGTAATTGTAAAACTTCTACCTTCTGTTTGTTCATTTCGGTCTATAAAAAGTAATGTCAACTAGTGTCGCCCAGTAGTTATAAATAAATAATAAAAATAAATAAGTGGGGATATTAACACACAGCGCCATCTAGTTCCATGGTAAGCTACGCGGCTTGTGTTATGGATACTATATAGTTAATACACTACACATATATAACTTTAAATACATAAATATTATAAATATAAACACCCATGACTGGAGTACAAACATTCGTCCTCACCCAGTGAATACCCCCAGTGGGACTCGAACCCGCGACCGCTGGCACAGCAAGTAGGTCCACTACAAACTGAGCCAAACGATTCGTCATGTTGGAAGTCGATAATGTGACATAACGATGATGTCGTTCTCTAACATTTTGTAGCATGCAATTAGCGATATCGATTATATGATGTAACTAACGATTCACCCTCGCACCGCTCGGGTTCGTCCCTAGTTACCTTGTAAGATTTACCTTAATTTTTTCAGAGGTGAGATATTTTCCCGCAGTAAAAAGTATCCTATATGTTGACCCGGATAACCAACTATTATTATACCAAATTTCATCAAAATCTTTCCAGTGTTTTTCCGTGATGCTGTCACAGGCAGACAGACAGATAAAAATTCTAAAAACTATAAATTCGGCCTCTGTATCGATAATAATGACTATTTTAATATGATTTTCCAAAAAATATTTAATGTACAGATTCGACTCAGAATTTTATTATATGTATAGATATAGTCTAACTACTATATTCGAAGATTTTTAGTTGTCATAAAATAAAGTCCCCCGCCGCCGCCATCTGTTTGAACGCGATAAACTTAAAAACTACTAAATAGATTTTAATACGGTTTTCACTAATAGATGGAGTGATTCATGAAAAAGGTTTAAATAAAATTTTAAAATATCATTAAGGTTTTGTCTAAATTGGCTGGAATAAGACGATGTATGTTGAAGATGTCGGAAAAAAATATTCCGACCTTTATTGTAGCGCGCCGCGTAAACTAATAAAGTTATATGAAAACAATGTATAACAGAATTATTCCTCTTAAAAATATCTTCCTATTAAACTGTAGCAACACTATTTGCACGTACTTAGGGACGCACTCAAACGAAGTGAGAGAAAGTCACTAGTATACATATAAAACGAGAATAACTTTTAAAGATTAAATAGAATAAAACTATCTTTTCGGATTTTTTCGCGAATTTATTTTGATTTTTGGTTTCCGACGTGTACATCAAAATGACCGCGATGATTTTTTTCATTTGTAAATGTATGTAGTAATGCGTTGCTTAAAAATTTGTTTTTAAATAATAAATTAAAATTAAAATTATTATTTTTAATTAATTTTAATTTTTTCAAATTACACATAGATAAATTATGTGGCTTAAATAATTAATATATTATGATTTTTTCTCTATGGTCATAAATATAATAATGGCAACACTAAAAATATAGATTACTAATTAATATTTTTAGAATCGTAATAATTATAATAATAACAGCTCATATTAAAAAAATAATATTCCAAATTCTTTTATAAAACTAATTAAAATTATATAAAAATAATAAAAAAAGTATTCGCGTAAATCTAAGAATGTATTAGGTTAAATAGAAATAAGCACGCAGGCAAAGCCATAGTCAAAAGTTAGTAAATAGTTAACTATATAAAGCAATCTATAAATGTGGATATCAAGCCTTCTGAGTCTTCAGAAAGCCTTTCGTCTTGATTATACTGACGCTGATGATCAAGTCTGAAAAAAAAAATAATTATTTAATGGATCATGCTATGTCATACTAATAAGTATCACTTCTAGTCCGTATTCTGTATTATTAATATTATAAATTTGAAAGTTTGTGAGTATGTATGGATGTTTGTTACTCTTTCACGCCAGAACGGCTGAACGGATCTGGATGAAATTTGGCACAGAGATAGATTATAGTCTGGAATAACACATAGGTTACTTTTTATCCCGGAAAAATGTACGGTTCCCGTGGGATAGGTGTATCTTTGTTTTCTTACGCTAGTAATCTATATAGTTGTCTAAGGCAGCGGTTCTCAAATGGTGGTCCGCAGAGCCCTAGGGTTCCGTAGAAGGGTCACAGGGGTTCTGAGTTCCGTCTGAGAGTTAAATAAAACGTTGTCAGACATAAAGCCTAATTTTAGTGCTACTATAAATATGTGAAAAAAATACAATAAATGTAAATTAATATTTTTTATTTATGATTTGTTTTTTCAAGTCAAACCAGAGAGTATTATAACTACAACACAATCAGTTTAGTTTGTCACAAAATGGGATCTGTCAAAAAAAATATGATCAATTAGGGTTTCGTGAAAAACGAACCGATTTAGATAAAATATGTCTAAGAACATATATAAAACCTGCTTTCAAATAAAAAAAAACGCATCCAAATCGTTTCACTCGTTTAAGAGCTACTGTGCCACAGACACACAGACATAGCGGTGAAACTTATAACACCATTATTTTTGCGTCGGGGGCTAAAAATATGGTATGAGTATATTTGATAATCCTCGTATTTCACAGTATCACTGATAAAATCAATGGGCCTACTCAGCTGAGCTTTTTGTTTATTGACCTTTGCCTGAGGAATCCTAAAAGGAGTGAAAGTCAAATGGCGGAATAATCAATATGACATTTATCACTCAAATACCAAATATGTTTTAGATGTAGTTGTGTATTTATAGACATACTAAAAGATCCCGCGGTTGGGTATTTTATTTTTTTATTTTTAAAGTTATATTTCTTTTAAGTTTTTTGAGAGTAAATTTTTTACGATGCGCGCGCACACTGAAAGCCAAAAAGCGACATGATGAAGTTAGCTGCATTCCTTTTACAGACAGTTTTGACATACGAGATGATATCTTTAGCTATTTTTGTTCTGTTACACGAAAGAAGTATAACTTCCTACGTACGTACATAAGTACACACACACGTTCTTTTTTATTTATTTAGTTTTTTTTATCTTAGTATGATTTACTATACCTGTGTGCGCCTTGACTGCCTCTGTTTAGTTTCAAATATGTTGTTGGGATCAAAGCTCTTGGATAGAAATCATATTTTATTTTAAAGGATCCTCTTTCTGTTCCGAAGGCTATGGTGGGCGTGGTCAAAGCTAAAGGAATGGTTACTGCAAATATGAAATTAATAAGCATTTTGAACATGATGACATTATATCTATACTAATATTATAAAGAGGAAAGTTTTTTTGTTTGTTTGTAACGAATAAGCTCCAAAACTACTAAAATAATTTAGATGAAATTTGGTAACAAGATAGTTTGAGACTCTGGAAAGGATATACAATAGTTTTATCCCAGAAATCATCCCTTAAGGGGGTGATAATGGGGATGAAAGTTTGAATGAGGAATTAACCTAGGGACGAACCCGAGCGAAGTGAGGGTGAATCGCTAGTCCATATACATATCTATATATATATATATATATATATATATATATATATATATATATATATATATATATATATATACTAATATTATAAAGAGGTAAAGTTTGTGATCTTGTGAGTTTGTGAGTTTGTGAGTTTGTGACGTTGTAGGGGGTAATCTCTGGATCTACTGAACCGATTTTCAAAATTCTTTTACCAATAGAAAGCCACGTTCTTTCTGAGTGTCATAGGCTATATATTAACGCGAAGAATGAAAAGGCTTTTTCGTGGTAGTCGGATTTGCAAAGTAAGTCGGAGAAAAAACGGTCGAACGAACAGGTTTCTTACGAACGCTGCATTAACGGTGAGAGATATATGATTATGTTCTAGAAAAAAGTTGTAGAGCTTAATAATGCCTACAAAAAAGTCAGCGACAGCATATGTCTAACTTTTATATTTAAGTCACAATAAGTAGTTTTTTATATTAAAAAAATAATTTAAATCGGTAGGTCATGTTTATTGGTCATATTATCAACAATTATGAATTCTTATCAAAATAAGTAAATTTATCGTCTAAAATGTTTAAAACAAAAGACTTTTCCCTTTTACTGCATATAATTTGGACAAATGGTTAAAGAGATAATACAACATATTCGTAGGTATGGACGAACCCGAGCGAGCTGTTTATCTGTTTTCCTGTTTGTACGGGCTAATCTCCGAATCTATTGGACCGATTGAAATAAAATTTTGCATGGTGGTACCTTATATCCCCGTGCAACATCTTAGATACTTTTCATCCCGGAAAATTAAAGATTTCCCGTGGGATAGTTAAAAAACTATAACAACTTATACAGCTTAGTACACAAAAACTACTGATTGGATTTTAATGAAACTGTACAATAATATAGTTCATACATGACTAAAACAAATCAGCTACTTTTCATCCCGGAAAATTAAAGAGTTTCCGTGGGATAGCCAAAAAACTATAGTAACTTATACAGCTTAGTACACAAAAACTACTGATTGGATTTTGATGAAACTTTACAATAATATATATAGTTCATACATCAGAATAAGAAATAGGTTACTTTTTATCCCGGAAAAATGTACTGTTCCCGTGGGATAGATGTTTTTGTTTATTTGTAACGTATTATGTACACAACATAAACCCCAAAACAATAGTTATTAAAAAGTTGTCTGTTTGTCTGTTTGCCTGTATGTCTGTTTGTCTGTTTTTGCGTGAGCGTTTCACGCGAAAAGTAATGTACTAATTTCAACGAAATTTGGTGATAACTTATTACTCGAGTTAACATTTAGGATACCTTTTGTATGTATTTATGTATGTATGTATTCAGCCCTTTTTAACGTCCCACTGCCGGGCACGGGCCTCCTTTCAGTACGAGGGGGATCAGGCCATAGTCCACCACGCTGGCCAAGTGCAGGTTGGCGGACTTCATATTTCTTTTGAAAACTTGCTGGGTTCTCTCAGGCATGCAGGTTTCCTCACGATGTTTTACTTCACCGTTAAGACAAGTGGTAATTGTGTTAGAAATGATTCGCACATGAAAATATCAGAGGTGCGAGACCCGGGATTTGAACTTGCTTCACTCGGTTTCCCAAGCGAGCGCGTTACCACTGGGATACCACTGCCTAGATACCTTTTACTTCAAGAAAATCTTTCTTTCCCACGGGAAAATACAATAACTGGTTTTATAGAGTCCTCCTTAGAAACCTTCCGCTGGCTAAGCCTTAAGACATACATACATTAAAACAATATACAAAAAAATTGTAGGTCTTGAAAAGTCCTACAGAAAAGTTCTGAATTGTATATGTCTATCTCCTAAGTTACACTCGCAATATTTATTCTTATCTATACGTATAATAAAACTAACTTAGTCAAATCGATGTGCGCGTTTCACGCAAAAAGTACTCAACCGATTTTAACTAAATTTTGTAGTGATAAAACTTAGTACTCGGGTCAACATTTAGGATACCTTTTACGACAGGCAAATTATTGATTACTCGAAAACACAATAACGTTGGCTCAACCTTAAGAGATAGATCAAAACATTGTGCAAGAAAATTGTAAGTCCTAAAAAGGTCTATAGAAAAGTTCTACATAGTATATGTCTTTCTCCTAAGGTACACTCGCTATAACTATTTTCATTATTATATATTACTGTTTTATTATACGTTATTTATTCTATTCTATCTATACATATAATAAAACTGTAGAGGTTATTTCTCTTCTGTTTGTCTGTTTGTACGGCTAATCTCCGAAACTATTGAACCGGTTTAAATTAAATTTTGTATGGTAGTACCTTATATCCCCGGTCAACATCTAAGATACTTTTCATTCCAGAAAATTAAAGAGTTTCCGTGGGATAGTTAAAAAACTATAGTAATTTATACAGCTTAGTACACAACAACTTATTCATCCCGGAAAAATGAACGGTTCCCGTGGGATAGATCTGTTTGTGCTATTCTAGAGGTGAACCCGAGCGAAGCGAGGGTGAGCCGCTAGTATATACATATATATATATATATATATATATATATATATATATATATATATATATATATATATATATATATATATATATATCTGTTTTAATTTTTTTTATTAATAAAGCTCGTCAATAGCTACTAAACAAAAAAAAGACAATCGGTTGACAAACAGACAACAAAACGTACCGAACTGTTTTGTCTTTACCTATTTATATAGATTCGAATCTGTCTGTATTGTCTGTGTGTCTAATATTATAAATATGAAAGTTTAGATGTTTGGATGGTTGTTACTCAATCAGGCCAGAACGGCTGAACGGATCTGTATGAAATTTGGCACAGAGATAGATGTAGGGAAAAATGTATGGTTCCCGTGGGATAGATTTTTTCTTTGTAGATATGTAAGAGTGCACCAAAGAATATACTTTAACTCACATATTAGAAAAATACCCGTACACCATAACATTTTGGCACTTTGAACCTGTGATTAACTAAAACTTAATTAAGCTATTATTTCAAATTTTTCGACTTAAAAATGAAAATACTTCACGGTTTTTACAAAAATGCGTATCAAACGATGTTTTTTGTAGTAAAAATGCTTTTTTTCAATATTTTGAATCCAATATTTCGCTGTACAGTTATGTTATTGAATGGCATTGTCGACTATGTAGGTGGTTCCTAGTTCGATATCAGTTTTTAGACTCATTGAGAATTTCCTTTTAATTTGAATACAAAATTGAATAAGAAACAAGTATATTAATTTTAAAGACCTAACCAGATATACTATGTACACACGTTTTTGGACTCTTTTTGGCCACTTGTACATGAATGGAGGGAGTGTCACTTTTATTTGTTAATTTTTATACTTTGACTACAGAATTGTCTAGAGGTTGTTCTATATTTTTCTCGCTTTCATATAAATACTAGGTTGCTTCCCCATACAAATTTTTATCCTCATTTTCACCCCCTATAGGGATGATTTCCGAGATGAAAATTATCCTATGTCCTTCCCAGGGCCTTAAACTATCTTCTTACTAAATTTCATCTAAAACGGTTCAGTAGTTTCGGAGCTTAATTGGTATAGATAACTGGCTAGATTTTTCTCAAAATAGAAAACCAACAACTATACAAATTAGTGTTGTTGTGTTGGGACATTAACACGCAGCACCATCTAGTTCCATGGTAAGCTACGAGGCTTGTGTTGTGGATACCAGATAGTTGATACACTACACATATATAACTTAAAGACATACATATTATAAATATAAACACTGGACTGGACTGGAGACAAACATTCATGCTCATTAGACAAATTAATCCTCCCAGCGGGACTCGAACCCGTGACCGCTGGCACAGTAAGTAAGCTCGCTACAAACTAAGCTAACCGTGTCATCTAAAGATGAAATGTTATATTAATTATAAAACATACGAGGACGTTAATGTTAATTAAAATATATGTTTAAACAAAAAAAGAGAAATAATTGAACCGTAGAAGAGCAACAATATCCAAATCACCAAACATTTTTTAATTAAAAATTGTTATTATTAATCTGTTCTTTGAACCATGAAACCCAAACAAAATCAAAACTGAGCTATAAATAGTATGACATCCTCTCAGTCAGCACAGTTCGGTGGAAAAAAGGAAAATGGCTTTCAAAACTTGTTTCATACTTTTTGGTAAGCTATTTTTTGTACCAACAACTCTTTTTAGAACATTAATAGATTTAAAATTTATATATTCTCTGTAAATGGTTTTGTAGTGATATCTGTTCTTTTGTTGCTAATTTAATGTGAATTCATAATACCTAACTCTATTAAACATCAACAAATTACTTTTAATGAAGTAAAAAGTAACTTATAAAGTAGGTACTCATTGTGACTCACCCCCGCTCGCTAGGTGCGTTTTATCGGTTAGTATAGATTTCTTAGAGATGTGATATTTTCAAGCAGTAAAATATCCTATATGTTGACCCGGATAACCAGTTATCATCATACCAAATTTCATCAAAATCTGTCCAGTGGTTTTCTTGTGATGCGTTCCCAGACAGACACTCAGAAAAAAATTCAAAAAACTAAAGATTCGGCTTCTGTATGGATAATAATGACTATTTCGATAAGATTTTCCAAAAAATATTTATTGTACAGATTCGTCTCAGTTAGAATTTTATTATAGGTATAGATAATCCCGCTTGTTTACGCGTTTACTAACGAACATCATATCATTTTTATTTAGATTTAGCTTGTTACAATTTCATGCTTGAATCGCTGAACAGATTTCGATGACATTTGTCGAGCACATAGATCAAGAGGACGGATATATTCTACTTTATAACCCGCCTCGAAATATATACCATCTGGATAGATCCGCAGGAAGAAATAATAATGGCTAAAATAATAGTCTATAATAAAACTCCAAATATTTATTCACATCTTTTACTTTTTTTAGCGATTATCTACTCCGGTCGTTGCAACCCGCTCGGCCAGACGGCATATTGCGAAAATCAAGGTGTAGCTCCTGCTTATTTAGCTCCAAGCACGACCGCCGTCTGCGAAAATGCCCCCAATTTCCCTTATTATGGTCTTAATAGCCTACCCTTACATTTACCATATGGACCTCTCCTACCAAATCTAGGATCTGCCACCGTCTGTGAAAGTCAACCTAATTTGGGGCAGCTCCTACTTGACCCATTGTTGGGGTCGTACGGATCTTGCCTCTCAAGACCTTTACCAGGTTTAGGACAAACAACTGTATGCGAAAGCTCACCTAATTTGGGGCTTCCCCTACTTGATCCATTGCTGGGGTCTTACGGGTGCTACCGCTCAAGACCTTTACCAGGTTTCGCACAAACAAATGTATGCGAAAGCACACCAAATTTGGGGCTTCCCCTACTCGACCCACTATTTAGTTCATATCCATATCTATCAAGACCTTGCTCAGGATTGGGCTCGACAACAGTTTGTGACACGGCCAATTTAGGTCTTGGGGCATATGGACTCCCTCGTGGTCCACTGCCTATTACAGTTCCAGGGTTCTACTGAATAGTTTCCGGCCATAAATAAAAAAAGTAACAGAATTAGGCTAGCATGAGAAAAAATCCAGACATTCTAATTTTTACCTTATTTCTTTTACCTGATTTTTCAGGTATGAAATTTTTTCGTGTAAATAATGTTTGGAACCAAAAAAAATGTATTTACTAAATTTGTTATTTTATAATATGTATTGATATTGGATTAAATTAAAAATATATATTTCATTTAGTTTTTTGTTTTAAACCTTTATCTAAAAAAACAAAAGTTTCATCCCTAATTTATATGGCTAATATATACAGAACCAGCATCCTTGGACTGATTCAACCCTTTCAAATTATATATTTTAGTTCTTTTTAACCCTTTATTTCATTAGAAATATGACAATGTAGATATGAGATAGTATTATAAATAAAAGTGATCTCCCCCAGACAACCTGTATTTTAAAAGAAGTCATAGTGTTGTCAGAAAGAGAGCAGAAGTCCTAAGGTTAAAGATGAAATAATTATTTTAAACTGATATTGCCGTCCTACATTTTTATTTAAAATATATTTATATTTTATATGTAGTTTTGATAATAGCATATTATTCTTTTAAAAGCCCAATTCAATGAATATGTATTGTAATTTCAGTTTAATTTGATTCAAATTAAAATGGCTACATTTATTGAAAATATTGGTTTAATATTGTTGTTACTTTGGATATTAATAATTTATGATATGCCCTTGCTTCGCTCTGATGCGTTCATAGGTTATTTATATATAGCGCCACCTTTGGCTAGTAAAGTCCGCCGATCCAGACTTGGCCAGCATGTTGGACTATGACCCGATCCCCATAGTATTGAAGGGAGGTCCAGCCCCACCAGTGGGACGGTAAAAATAGGCTGAATACATACCTCTTGGCTAATTTTATTACTAACTGTAGTCTATGTGTAATTTCTTTCAAATTTGTCCAGCATTTTATCCAAAGGAGTAAATAAAAATACACACAAACAAGCATATACACTTAAGCATTTATAATAGCGGTAATAAAAGGTAAAGGAAACAACAATTCATGCGTAAACCCGTATTTAATTTCGGTCGCTCACACATTTTGCAAATGTAGCTTAATTAATTATAACATACATTTAAAATATACGTACTAATATATATTCATATTAAAAACTGTCATATTGCTTATTGTCTGTTCGGAAATCGAACCTATATACACATAGTTTCAGGCTACTAACAAAGAAGACTCAAAATGATTAAAACCATCATTGATGTTGGAACAAGATCAGTACATTCTAGAACATTGAATGGGGTGTTCAGTATTGACTAGTCTTTAAGGGGCATCTTCAGGGGACATAGGGGGTCCCTTATAGAAAATAAACTAGTTTTTATTCACTTTAAATAAAAACACAGTGTCTGAGGAAAACGTACCAAATAAAGGGGAATTCTGAAACTTAATCTGATAGGTGCAAAGTATGTAATGCCAGTTCATATCCTAATACAATAATATAACATGACAAGTTGGATCTGTTACTCTAGTTATACTTTAGTAATTTGAACAGGGTGAAGGATTTGGGTCCTCACACGGGGACGGCTCTGGGCATGGAGGAGGGCATGGGGGTGGGCATGGTTCTGGGCATGGAGGTGGAGAGGGGGGTGCGCAAGGATCTGGGCATGGGTTTGGGCAGTATATATTTACTCGGGCACTTCCGCAATTTCTGAAACGTGGTGGGTTGGGTTGGAAGCATATTGTGGGTGATTGAGACACAATAATTCTTGGCGGCTGCACGATGAGGAGATCAGGTTGAGGTGGCTGAATTGAGCTTGGTGTTACCTGAAAATAACGAGAATCTTAATAAAGTTCTTCTGCTACGTTTATATTTTATGACACGCGGTGATCTGATTTTCTGACTTAGAGTTGCTATTGAATGTTGATAGGCAAAAAAATATCTAAGACTCAAGCCCAGAATCTCACAATGTGTACCCATATAAGCTATAAGACCAACAGAATAGAGAGGTACCATTGCATTTATAATTTTTATTCATTAATCCTTAATTAGTGAGACAGACCAAAGACCAGACCAAATGGATTATTAAAGTCATTAAAATACTAGGAAACCATTATAATTAATTATTCAAAAATGTTCAGATTTCGAAGTAAGACTATTTATCGTCGGACGACCTCCAAACTCTACGTAATTAAGAACAAACTTTGATCGAAACCAAACTAATAAACAATATAGAAAATCCATTCGTGACGAAGTTATTGATTTACAACATGTTGGTACCGATGTTTATTATATATTACAAACTAAATAGTCTAGATCTAGATAGGTAATTACATAATTCCAATTTTATAGTTATCTGTATAATAGTAAATTGAGCTGTTACTTAGAATCTACATATATTCGTATCCCTAACTTAAATTTCGTTTTAATAAAATCATAAAACGGATGCAGCAAACATTATAATGATAAAAGTTGTGTTAAAAATCTTTTTTATAACAAAATAATTCAATACACTTATTGCTTACCTTGATCTTAGGTACTCTTGGTGGGCACACTGGTGGCGGTCTGACCACTATTGGTGGTGGTCTAGGAGGGTTTACGGGGTTCGGCCGAACGGTGATTGGTGGAGGTGTTGGAGGTTGCACTGCAGGTGGTTGAACCCTAATAGGTGCTAACGCTGGTGGTTGGACTGGAGCTGGTTTCACCCAAATTAGAGGTGGTGATGGAGGTTTGACCGCACCAGGTTTCACGACTATCGGTTTAGGTGCCGGGAACCGTATCTGACCAGGCTTAACTAACACGTAACCTGCAAATTGTTTTAAAATAATTAATAATATTACTAATATTATTTAATTAGTACTTTACAAAAACGTCAATGCCTTAAATCAAGAAAGAATTTCCATATTAGAGAATTTTTGGAACCTTGAAGTTGTAAAACACATTAAAATTTAAGATTTTTTTTATCACACCATTTTCTTTATTGAATTTTATTGAATCACATAACTGACTATAATAACTTTAAAAATATCAACTTACCACAAGGTGCTCGCCCGTATACATACTGCACTGATGGGGCATTAGGGTTACATGGACTTATCTGTATCGCATCTTGATTACAAGGGCAAGGGTCTGAACATGGTTCGCATGGGTCTGGGCATGGTGGGCTTGGGTCCGGACTTGGTGGACATGGGTCTACACAAGGGTCAGGGCATGGCGGTGGACATGGGTAATATTGCGGATCAGGTACTGGTTGCCCAAGTGAGTACGCGAGAAGGGCTAAAATTAAAGAAATTAATTAAGGATTTGCTCAGGCCTTAACTTCCCAGGGCATATTAGTCAAATTAAAATCTATTAACTTAAATACTTTTTTAAAATAGTATGCCCTTATCCGTATCTGTATACCCTCATTTAAACTCTACATTTATATTAAGGTAGAGTAAAATAAGGGTATACAGACTTTAAGAGTAACATTCACTGGAAGGGGTACATTTTTAAGAACATATTCATTAATAAAAGAAAAAATCACGTATTGAAATCAATGTACGCACTTCGTCAATGTTGAAAATCAAACAAAACACTCAGCAATATCGTTATGATTAGAAATATCTAAAGGTATTTTTGTTTTTAATATATCATTAAAATTCATAGCTTTGTTGTAATAAAAGTTCTTTCGTGGAAGAAAAGGCTATGTGGGGGAAAAAATTATTCGTACTCTACTTCATCCTCTCAGAGATCCGGGACTTAAGCCCGCTTCATTTGAATTTACCGAACGCATTACCATCGGGCTACCACTGGCTATCATTTAATTAAAAATAATTATAATAGTATATAAAAATGTTACCGAATATCCAAACGACTGTCCCCGCTACCATCTTCCAGTCTGATACCTGACTTTGAGTGCACCCCTTCTTATAGCAAAGATTTTTAAGCTACCAATTTAATATTATAATTGACTAATTTTCCGGACATTGAGAAATCAATCTTAACCACTAAATTATAAAGACTACAATTGTTGTAGAAGAAACTTTATTTTTTTCTGAAGATAAAGAAAATTAAAATAAAATGTTTATAAATGCTTGATTAGCAAATTTTTAACGTTTTTTTAAACAGTTTTAGTTTTGATTTTTATTAAAGTGTGATGAATTGATTTATTTATATGTGAAAAATTAAATATTATAAAATCGCGGAATATATTTGGCCTATTAAGTAGTAGGTTCGATTCCGGATTATTTTAACAAACTTTGAAAACATCTATCCCATCAGTATTTACAAGATTACATTAAGTTGTTTTGTGCGTGTCTGTCAGTCTTCCTATATCAAAGTGCATACGCTATCCATTTAGCAAAAACTTGGCAGAATCCTATTAGACTAAAATTTGATGGGCGCGAAGCCAAGAAACGCAATGGGAGGTGGCCCACCTCGGTGAACGGTGTGCTATGCGGGTTGCTCCTGGTACTTCTCCGATAGCAGAGTGGACCATGGGACCTGCTTTGGCAGGCCAGCCGTTAAGGCGCCAGCATTGAGGTCGATCCTGCGACGCCCCAGTAAGACAGTGGAGATTTTGTTGGGTTTTACTAGGTAGTACTAGCTTTGCCGATGAATCCCACATTACTACATATATGCATTGCGTAAATACATTTCCCAACGTTAAAAAATGGCTGAGATTTGGTATTTGGCATCTTTAGTAATCACTGATTATGGTTTTTTTGAGCAGGTCTCCTAATAAATTTGGCGATAGTCGAATTTGAAGAAAAAATGTAGAAAATATGTTTAAAGTTAGTTTCAGATTCATGTATATTTAAGTCCCACATGAAAAAATATTATACTCTTCATTTTATTTTTTTGAACAAGTACATTTTTTTAGATTGTTCAAATATCTAATCAACAAAATATCTCTTGAAAACTTTTATCGTTCATAAAATTTCCTAAGGAGATAAATTTTAATACACTTCGGAATTGGTTCTTGAAAAAATTCGAGCCAAGCTTTTGAATAATGTCCCCAGTTCGATTTAGTTTGTGTAACATTTTAAAATAGTTTACTTGAACCTTTTTTGAACTGATGTAACTTTTTTGGGGCATTTTCGTCTCATCTTAGTTTTTTTTTAAGATTCTAGTATCTTACATAGATACTATATAAATTTTTAAACTTTTATTTAGTTTTACCTGTTTGGGGTTGTGTAATGGAATCTTGCAATTTAAATTTGACCCACTTCCCAGTGTCCGAATGAGCTGAAATTTAGAGCACTAGTTTGGTTCCACATACAATACCCGATTATTTAAATACCGCCATTTTTAATTCAATATGGCTGACTTATTTTGTAGTTTTATCGCGAACGAAGCCGCGGGTTCTGCTAGTATATACATATATGAAATTAAAATTTGAACGAGCTAATTTCTAACAGTATAAGTCCAATTTAAAAAACTTTTTGCACTATAATTTATTTTTTATTTAATAATTTATTTCAGGCAATATTTACAAAAAGATCTTAAATATGTAAACAAAGGCCCATAGCATAGAATATATAAATAGACTATTTTTTAAGAAAGATTAAAAACTATTTTATCCGCATTTGACCAGCGTGACTATAGGCTGATCCCATTCGTATCGAAAGGATTCCCACCCCCAGCAGTGGGACATTCTAATTTAAGAATTTAAAAAACTACAAGCCTACAACAATATATAAAACTGATTTTTGCCAATGGCTGCACTCGCTTGCTTCTTCAATTAAAAATAGCCTTTAGGAATTTTCTTTCTCATTGACTTGTTTTTTTAAATAATTGTTACACAGTGTTAACACTTCACACAAAACCATAATGAATTATACCCCTAAACTTTCCTCATGAAACACTATGTCTATGGGTGAAAACCGTATGAAAATCTGTTCGGTAGTTTTTGAGTATATCGTATTCAGACAGATAGACAAGCAGACGTGGCGGGAGGACTTTGTTTTATAATATATGATAAATTAAAAAGTGCAGACAAAAAATTTGACCTCTTTATATACGATTTGGGTCGAATATAACTTCAAACAGATTCACAGCAAAAGTAACTTACTGGGAGTTAGAATTTGCCTTAGTTTGGTTATTCAAACAAACTTGAACGAGCGTCTACGTGAATGAAATAGAAAACATGTAAAAAAATAGAAAATCTATATATTAATGTTGCGGCCATAACTCAGACCGCGTACTCTTGAAGTTGTAATGAAATCAAGTATACCTACTCGTAATTCAAAGGAAATATCTCTAAAAGTCAATCAGCTCAGTAATTGATCTTCTCATCTTGGAATTATTAATAGCTGTGTATAACGAAGTTGGTTTCATGATCTAATGAAGCATCCATACTAATATATAAATGCGAAAGTAACACTGTTTGTCTGTTACGTTTCCACGCCTAAACCGCTGAACCGATTTAGATGAAATTTGACATGAAGATAGTTTGAAATCCTAGGAAGGATAGTTTTTATTTCGGAAATCATAACTTAAGGTGGGGAAAAAGGGGGTAGAAGTTTCTATGGGGAATCATTCATTTCACAAAAAAAATATTATACCCTAATGGTATATTGGTAAGAAATAAAAATTATTTCGGCGTTTATGACCAATCAAGTAAAAGAGGATGATGTTTAGTTTTTTTTTAATTTCTTACTTACTTTTCTATACCTATGTACATATAGTCTATCTATTCCATACTAACCGTTAAAAAATTATTCCAACATACGTCCTTCGATACTTAACCTAACTATTTACACTAACATCAGTAATAATAAGGTTGAAAAAATTTTTAGAAGTAATTGTAGGTAATGCCACAGACTTCGGTGAACCTCATTGCTATTCTCAGCAGAGTCCTAGGTAGCTTATGACATTTTCTGCGACTTATCTAAGGCCTTTGATTCTGTGTATCATAGAATATTAAAAATCTGCATCATCATGACATTATAAATAACTTGCCTGAACTTTAGATTTGGTGTTCCATTAATAGATTCCAAAAAATCCATGTTAATGTTAACCAGGAAACTTTTAAGATTCCCCATGAAGTATAAGGGTTCCACAAGGGTGTGTTATTGGACTATTCTTCTTTCCTATTTATCTATTGTTTATTGTAAATCCTTCTTCATTCTATCAGTTTTCAATGTAAAAATTCTAATGTAAAGCTTAATATAATTACTTTATATTGTCACTAGCGCCTTACCCTTGCTTCGTTTGGGTTCGCCTCTTTCTCTTAAAAAACAAAAACATATCTATCCCACGGGAACCACATATTTTTCCGTAATAAAAAGTAGCCTATGTGCTATTCTGATGTATGTTATTGTAAAGTTTCATTAAAATCCATTCAGTAGTTTTTGCGTGAAAGCATCCACATATCCTCACAATTTTTCACTTTTATAATACATATGGATAGATATGTCTCAAATAAAGTTTTAAATTGTATTGGTCTTGACACAAACTTCCACATCTTTGAGACGAAATATGAACATCTTTTGGTATGTGTAATCGTATCTTGACTACAAAATTAACTTGCGAAGTTTCATTATATTCTAAACAAAAAGTTATTTTTATATCTTTGAATTACTGTTTTATTACAAGATTTGGTTTTGGCTTCACTTGAGTTTAAATTAAATACCTAGATATAATTAAACACTTTTTTGTTTATAATTACTCTAAAAACCTGAGTTCAATTCTATCTGAACTCTACTAGCTTGAAGAAAATTCTGGAAATAAAATGGTTATCGTAATGGCGATTTCTTCCTCGTCTTTGTCTAAGATTTTGACAATCATCACGTGTATAAAAAGAACGAAACATATATATAAAAGTTCATTACATTTAATATAAAAGTATTGATTAAATGGAAAAATATTAGTTTTTTTTTACTTATTTAATACGCTTTAAAGGTTAGTATGGAATAGATAGTTTATATATTATATGATATATAGCCTTTAGCCTTCCTCAATAAACGGGCTATCTGATTAGTAGTTCTTGAAATTAGCGCGTTCAAGCAAACAAACAAACTCTGCCTCTTTATAATATTGGTATAGATACACATACGTTTTTGTTAAAATTAGATCCTAGAAATAGTTTATAAATTCTTTCCAAAGTTTGAGTATTAATTATTCTCGTAATAATATAAACTAAGCAGTTTTCTTTAGAAGTTTCATTTAATCGGGGGATGGTCAATAATACAAATTTTCAATCAAACATATATATTTCTATAATACTATATAATAACTTACATTTGCAAAAATTAAAAACTAACGAAACTAATACGGGCTACAAAAATCATGTCCATTTAACAAATCGTAGTCAAGATCTGCTTGAAAATCTATAGATATTACAAAAATCTACCCACTAATATCCATGGCAATATATATCTTAGAAGATTCTATATATCCTTGGTGAATAGATTGAGTTAAGTAATGTATTTTGTAATATCATCCTTTTTTAATTTAGTTCAGAAACAAGGGTGGTTGTGGGCAAGGGTCTGGGCATGGCTGTGGGCAAGGGTCTGGGCATGGTTGCGGGCAAGGGTCTGAGCATGGTGGAGCACAGGGGTCTGAACAAGGTCCAGAATAAGACCAATTTACGTCAGAACCTCCTGCTCCTCCTTCTCCTCCTTCAGAGTTTGCTCCTCTATTAATTGCAGAAGTGCAGACGGCAATTGTAGGTGGTTGAATGTTGGCGGGAGCTGCAGGCCGTACGACTATTTGTGGAGGATTAATCACTTGCGAATCTGGTTGTCTGATAGTGATCGCTGGGGGTTGCACAGGTTTGGGGCATGGTGGTCTGACTATTATTGCGGGAGGACAGATCGGAGCTAAGGGTGGTGGTCTGACACAAATTGGTGGCACACACACTGGTGGTAGCGGTGCTGGTCTTACACAGATAGGAGGCGGCGTTATTGGAGGTAATTGAGGTGGTTGGACTTCTATACATGGTGGTTGGATAGGTTTAAGTGGAGCAGGTCTGACGAGGATTGGTGGTAATTGAATCATGACGTCAGGGTTAGTACGAGTAAAGAATACCCCTCCAGCAACGGGGACAGCCTGGAAACCGGCAGATTTGAGCTGTTCCGCAGTGTTACTTCTTTGGATCGTCACTCTTATTGGTCCATCGCCAGTAGTTGCTGCAATAAAGAAGTATGCCAAATTTAAATACAACTTTTTATATTATTTGTATCGAAGTAATATTTCGTGTTAATTACCCTAACAGAAAAAAAAGAAAATAATTAATTGCATTATAGATTTTCACATAGTAAAATAAGATATCTGTGTTTTTATATGACTATACTCAATAAGGATATAAGTAAATTAAATAATATTAACAACTTACTCGGCTGTACATCACATGGGCTTGGAGGACCTATTGGTGGACCGGGTGGGGGACACGGTGGTGGACATGGCGGTGGACATGGCGGTGGACATGGTGGAGGACTCGGCGGGGGACAAGGTTGCGGGCAGGGATCCGGGATTACGCAACACACTTGTGGCGTAGGAGCCGCTGCCACAGATGATATAAGCGCTAGACAAAAAAAAATTAAACCATTTTTCAATTAATATCATCTATCTTTGCTCACGGATTGATAAAAAAGTATTCAAAATACCATATTGAAAAAAAATATATTGTAAGTGTAATAGAGAAAGTAAAATCTGATTGAGAAGAGTTCCTCGACACCAAAAATCGGTTATATGTACCAGTCTATATCTGATTCCCACAAATTATTACAGTTAAAAAGTATCGTTTTTTCATAACTTCTTTACTACAAATACAATAACAAACCAACAGACACCTTCTCTTGACCGATTTCTAAAAACAGGAATTCAGTTCGTCCACATTTTTTTATAATTTTCCTCAAGGATTCTATATTTTAAAGAAAAATCTCCATTACATTGGGAAGAACAACATTTTATAATACTGGTATTACTATACATAAATAAATATGTTGGCACATTAACACACAGCACCGTCTAGTTCTATGGTAAGCTACGAGACTTGTTATATGTTTTATATACACCTGATAGTTGATACACTACACGTATATAAACTTTAAATACATACATATTATAAAATATAAACACCCATGACTGGAGTACAAATATTCGAGCTCATCACCCAAATGCCCTTAGGGACTCGAACCCGTAACCGCTGGCACAGCAAGAAGGGTCACTACAAACTGAGCCAAACGAGTCGTCGAATTCTTTTAGATTCAAATCCTTTATCGTACAAAAGATTTTATGTATTTTAGCTACTCAAAGCCATAGTCAGATATAAACACACAGTAAAAATACATGTTAGATCAAGTTTCCTTATTGTGATAAAGTAAAGAAAATACACTATTTGTTCGCTTGATTAGGCTCCGTCTATATTGTCTTATTTCGAGGTGTATGAAAAGAATGGATAAAGTTCTGTCGTGTTGTTTGTTTATTAGTAACTAGCGTCCCTAGATGCCGTTCGAATTTATTATTGCGGAAGTTCTCGGAAGGGACAGCTTTTCCGATTTCATTCAAATACCATAATACTGATAGCGTTTTCGTTAATATTCCTAAGGTAGTCGAAAATATTCCTAAATAAACCTCGATCTATTAGCGGAAATCCTTAAAACACTTTAAAATCAATACATATAATAAAATCTATACATGTAATAAAATTCTAAGTGAGTCGAATTTTAATCATTCGAACATTAAATATTTTTTGGAAAATCTTATTGAAATAGACATTATTATCGATACAGAGGACGAATTTCTAGTTTTTAGAATTTTTGTCTCTCTGTCTGTCTGTTACCGCATCACAGAAAAACCACTGGAGGGATTTTGATGAAATTTGGTATGGTTTTAGCTGGTTATCCGGGTCAACATATAGGATTATTTACTTTTTACCGCACTAAAATGTCTCATTTCTGAGAAAAAATACAAAAAATGCAATGTAAGAGTATACTAATATGTAAAACCTAAGAATTTGGTTTTTGGTCATCTGAACGCGGGCGGAGCCGCGGGCAATGCTAGTTTAAATATAAATAAAATAATTACATTACCTATAAAACCCAATGCCGTGAGTCGCCCCATCCTCAAGTTTGACTATCAACTGCCTTCACAAACGTTTATATACGAATTTTATACATGAAAAAATTAACGTATCAAAATTATAAAATTTGTTTGGAAAATTTTCATCTAACCATTACTATACAATTTTTTGTATAAATTTTGAAATTTTTCAATTTATTTTAAGTTTTAATTTAACGGAATAATGTTTTAAATTGCTTAACTCTCAATATATTATTAGTTCTATATAAATATGTGAAAATACGAAAGAGCTTAGACATTCTTCAAAATGGGGATGTACGTTGTGGTCTTACTTGGTAAGTGAATTTTTCTTGAATTTTTACTAATACTTATATAATAAATAGCTTGAATGAGTTTGTTTGTTTGTCCTTCTTTACTCAATAGATAGACGTAATATTATCTATACTAGACATTAGAGAGTGATATAATGCTTTTTTTAACCGACTTCCAAAAAGGAGGGGGTTCTCAATTCGTCGGAATCTTTTTTTATTTATGTTCACCGATTACTCGACGACGTCTGAACCGATTTGGATTTTTTTTTGTTTCAAAGGGTATATTCCCAGATGGTCCCATATAAATATCGAAATCGCTCGAGCGGTTTTTTTTACAAATCAAGAATATTTTTTTTTTTAAATAAATTGTTTAATCGAATATGTTATTAAAAAACTTTCTTCTTACAAATTATCTGCTTATTTCGTTTACACTAAAAATGGAAAAAAAAGACTTAAAAAAACCGACATCCAGACACTAAAATATAAAAAAATTACTAAACGGGGGTTTTCATTTAGAATAGATACATAATCAGATATTTTGGAAGTCGGTGCCAGCCTACAATATCTTAGAATATGAATATCTAATGGGTAAACATGTATTTAACGCATCGAAATATATTAGATTTGCTTAGCATCGGCTGCACCGCCTTAAGGGATGATTTCCGGAATAAAAAGTACCTTACGTCCTTCCCATGGTCTCAAACTATCTTCTTACCAAATTTCATCTAAATCGGTTCAGTAGATCCAGAGGTTACCCCCTACAACGTCACAAACTCACAAACTTTACCTCTTTATAATATTAGTATACGTGTGTTGTAGTCACCTATCCTTGATAGTATGGAGATCATATTATAGATACTATAATCCCCGCACTACTTGCCACGCGAGAAAAACCGCGAACAATACTAGTATGTACAATATTATACAAATTATACTAGCGACGCACCCTCCATGTTCGTCCCCAGGTACGTTTTAACGGTTTCTATAGACTATTCAGAGATGAGATATTTTCCCGCAGTAAAAAGTATCCTAAAAATTTGGATTACCAGTCGGATAACCAGCTATTATTATACCAAAGTTTATCAAAATCTGTCCAGTGGTTTTCTTATGTTGTGTTCCCAGACCAACAGTCAGACAGATAGATAAAAAATCTTGAAACTGTAAATGGATAATTCCACTGCTGGGCGTGGGCTTTGCCCCTTTACCTACGCTGGCCAAGTGTAGGGCGGACTTCACATGTCTTTCGAAGACTTGCTAGGTTTTCTCAAACATGCAGATATGCTCACGATGTTTTCCTTCATCTGAAAGCTGAAGTATTTTCATGTCTAATTGGTGATATCTACTACTTGTTTGATAACAGGTTCGTTTTTATCTTTACATTATTCAAACTCCTATCTGCTTTCTAAAGTTGTTAGATTACGTTATGAACTATTTTTCCCTGTACAACAATATCCTCTCTCATGCTCGAGGATTACTGGTAATGATCTCTTAAAAAGATGACTCATCCTTTGTAGACATACATAATATGTATGTATTTTTATATGAATTAGTGTTCGCCGAGTGATCAAAATTCGACTATAATCATCATCGTGAGGATTTACCTTATCTATATTTAAAAAAAACTAACTGTATCGAAAAAAATATATTAATAACACTAAATCTCGTCAATAAAATAAAATATCCATTAATTTATAAAATAAATTGACATTATACACACACACATGCAAATCATTTATTTAATATTATATTATTTTACATTTCTATATTAACATTTATATATTATTTTTTACTTTTTTTACATATAAATAAAACTCGTCAAGCTACTAAACGAAAAAAAAGAAAGTCGTTTGACAAACAGAGGAGAAAAAGGTACTGAACTATTATATATATATATATATATATATATATATATATATATATATATATATATATATATATACTAGCGGCTCACCCTCGCTTCGCTCGGGTTCGTCGCTAGGTACGTTTTAAATAGATATAAAAAGTTATTAGCCAGCGTAAGCCATATAAATTTTAATTTTTTTTTCGTTAATTATTCTGATGTTTTAATACTTACCTATTCCGGACTAAGAGAAATCCAAAAATTAAAATATCATAAAAATTGGAACGCGGTCGAACGGGATAAAAAGTATCCTATGTCCGTCTCTGGGTTCTAAGCTACCTCCCCGCCAATTTTCAGCCAAATCGGTTCAGCCGTTCTGGAGTTATAAATAGTGTAACTAACACGACTTTCTTTTATACACATATATATACATATATATATATATACATATATATATATATATATATACATATATATATTGTGGTACATAAATAAATAATCCTTTATCATGTCCACATGAGTAGATCAAGGGTTCAACTCTTGAAAAAAAAGGACGAGTGAACAAAATAATGACTTACATCGCTCATATCACTCTTTCTCTTATAAAAAATGCTTGAACAAAAAATAAGTATATACGCAAGTCATAACAAGTGTTTCGCTAAAGACCTCTCCAGACTCATAAACTAAGCAGATAGCTGAGTAAAGTAGAAAATATATACATAATGGCTTTATTATACAACATTTTATTCCGCTTATACTTACAGCGTCTATTTATCAGTTTTGATGTTCATATGTTTGTTCATTGTTATGTATATTAATAGTTGTTAAATTTATACTGTAAGGTAGCACAGTGGTAACGCGCTCGCTTTGAAAACCGAGTGAAGCGGGTTCAAATCTTCGATATCGCACCTCTAATACGAGCACTTTCTTGTGTGAATCATTTCCAACATGATCACCACTTGTCTTGTGAGGGAAAACATCGTGAGGAAACCTGCATGTCTGAGAAAACCTAGCAAGTTTTCAAAGACATGCTCTGTCGCACTTGGCCAGCGTGGTGGTCTATGGTCTGATCCCCCTCGCATTGAAGGAAGGCCCGTGCCCCGCAATGGGATGTTAATGAAATCTAAGAAAGTATCGGCGAAATGTTTTTATTTATTTCAATCTGATCTTCATTCTTCGTCACAAAAACTTTTAATTTACCAGCCTTCGACTGACAAAACACTGCCTTTAAATAGAAATGAAAGTTTATCAATAAGCATGACTTGAAAGTTTTGAGGCATACAATTAAATATCTGAATATACAAAATGCAAATCAATTTGCTATTTTGATTAGGTATATTTTAGGAGATGGGGTTCTCTTTATGTTGAATTATGCAAGAGTTTAATGAAATTTTGTTTAGACATTTATAGATGTCATGGTGAAGTCCGGAATAAATTTAACAGGGAAGAAATATTAATCTTCAGTGAAACCTGAAGTGACGATAAATTCTTTATCCAATATTGATTCACTTGTTTTTATGATATTCTATTATAATTGACGCCACGTTTGTCTCAGTTTGTAGTGACCCTACTAGCTGTGCCAGCGGTCGCGGGCTCGAGTCCCGCTGAGGGCATTCATTTGTGTGATGTACACGAATGTTTGTTCACCAGTCATGGGTGTTTATATTTATAATATGTATTTATTTAAAGCTATATGTATAGTGTATCAACTATCTGGTATCCATAACACAAGCCTCGTAGCTTACCATGGAACTAGATGTTGCTGTGTGTCAATGTCTCAACAATCAACATATTATTATGCTTTAATTTTCTTTCTTTTAATTTTGTTTGTTTTTTTTAATGCTAGCCCTCATCAGCTCAGCATATGCAGCACCATGGCGTTGCGTGAAGTGCCAAGACGGCAGTACAGTTTGCTTTGGGGAAGTCGGCCAACCGTCCATATCACAACCCAGTATATGCGTGCCAAGACCCTCCCCACCATGTAGCTGTTCTGCTCTAGTATATACACCCCCTGTATGCCCACCACCACCTCCACCCCCATGCCCACCCCCATGTCCACCCCCATGCCCACCCCCATGTCCACCCCCATGCCCACCCCCATGTCCACCCCCGTGCCCATACTGACAAAATGTTAATCTAATTTAAAAAAATATGGCAACATTCAATAAAATTCAATGTATTAAATTTTTGGATATGAAATTCGCGTATTTCAAAAAATTTTTTGGACTTACATTAGATTTTTGGTCAATAATAAAAATTTGTCAATGCGTATTTTCCGTTATGTAGCTATATTATTAAAAAAATTGATCTGATAACATTCACTTTAACACCATTGAAGTTCGCATGAGCTTCAAAAATATTGGCTTGCTTTATAATGAAACTTCTACAAAATAAATGCATTCAAAATTTATTTTTGTGTTTATTTTTTTTAATAATTTTCCTTTATTGCCCATGAGTATTCAATTTTGGAGTAGTCGAAGTCGCTATATGCGTCTGAGTGTTTATGCGCTTAGTTCTTCTAAGCTACATGACGGATTTTGATGTAGTTGTGTTCATTATTTATAGAGAATTTCTTTTAGGAAACTTATTTATTATATGTAAAATAAATCTATTTTATATTCATAGAACGTAAAGAAAAATCATATTTTTCTAAAATCTAATATCACTTACGACAACTTAAAAAATTTCATGTCATTTACATTCTTGATGTGAACTAACTGAGTCACGACACGTTTGGCTCAGTTTGTAGTGACCCTACTTGCTGTGCCAGTGTAGATTTTGAAGTCAGCGTACTTTTATATTACAAATTAAAAATATGTACACGTAACACAATATACATATACTAGCATTTTTCAGGGCTCTGCCTGTGTCGTTTAATTTCGTAGAATGAGTAGATCGTGATGTAAAATAATTTATAAACACAAAATCAATTTTTCAAATCGGACTATTACATCCAGAAATTGTCGGCTCAAACAAACAAACTCTTCAGCTATATACATTTATATTAGTACTAGCGGACCCGACAGACGTTGTCCTGTCTACACGTCTTTAATTTGAAAATTTCAAACTTTTTTAATAAAATTTTTTATGAAAATTATTATTCAAATTGTGAATCTAAACCATTCCCAGATCCCCTTGAACACACACAAAAAATTTCATCAAAATCGGTCCAGTCGTTTGAGAGAAGTTCAGTGACATACACACTCACAGAAGAATTATATATATAAAGATGTATAGATAGATTAGCGACTTACACTCAGGTGCGTCCCTAGATACGTTTTCAATAGATAAAAATAGTTATTGAGAGTGTACCTTACATATAGGTAATATGGCGGAATTTTATGTAGGTCTTTTTAAGACCTACAATTTTCTAGTACATTGTTTTGATGTATCTCTTAAGGTTTAGCCAGCGTTAGCCATGTAAGTCTGTAAGGACGACTCGACAGAACTAGTTATCGTATTTGCCTGTAGTTAATAGTATCCTAAATGTTGACCCGAGTAATAAGTTATCACTACACAAAATTTAGTTAAAATCGATTAAGTACTTTTTGCTTGAAACGCACACAGATATACAGAAAAACAGATAAAACAATCAACAGCTATTGTTATTTCTATATTCTGTACACAATACGTAACAGTCGATGTTTTTGAAAAATATTTGCTGTACAGATTTCGCTTTTTTACTATTTTATTATATGTAAAGTTTAAAATACATACGGAACCCTGCAGTTGGAGTCGAGCAACTCGCTTTTATCTGAATTTTCAATTGCATCTGTATAAAATACTAATAGATTTATTCCGAACCATTTAGATAAAAGATAGAAGTTAGTATTTTGGCAGACTTACAAATTTCATAAGTTACAGGCCATTTCAAAAATTGCTGTAGTTTCACGAAATGAAATGATTTTATGTAATGATAAGAAGTAAAAATGGGTAACACGCGTGTTGAGAATGTTCATAGGACACAGTCTGTATTTACCCCCATCCCATTGCTGGGGGTGGGCTTCTCTGAAATGCGAAGGGGATCAGGGGATCAGGTTATAGTCCACCACGCTGGCCAAGTGCGGGGTGGACTACACATGTCTTTCGGACTTTCAATGCAAGGGGGTACAGGTTATAGTCCACCGCTGGCCAAGTGTGAGGCGGATTTTGGAAATGATTCACACTTATCATTGGTGAATAAGGGGTTTAGATAATCCCGGGAAAAGAAAAGTTTCCCGCAAGATAAAAATTGATAGATAGGGTTAACCGATTATAGAAAAAAAGAGTATTTTGTAAACAAAAAGCACCTAGGAACGACCCATAGGATGCAAGGGTCTGTTATAATAGACGTTAGAACTGCTGGACGGATCTGAATGGATTTTGGCACGGAGATAGATTATAGTCTGAAATAGTATATAGATTACTATTATCCCGGAAAATGTATGGTTCCCGTGGGATAGACTTGTTTTTGTTGAGTTTTTCTATTCCATACTAACCGTTAAAACGTACACTACATAGGGACGAACCTGAGCGAAGCGAGGGCGTGTTGCTAGTATATTATTTAAAAAAATACAAGCATTTTTCAAGTCGAGTTATAATTAATCTTATTTATCTTTTTTTAAATGTATATTTATATCTTAAATTTTAAAACACGTTCTCCTCTTACACTCGTTTCAATAAATAGCAGATACAAAAGTCCCAAAGTATTTAAACATTTCGATCGAGCACCAAATAGGTTTTAATTAAAGGATTTTCTTTACTAAAGGATTTTCCGTGAAAAGTGTTACTTTTAACGTTTAAATAAAAAAAGTAAAATTGGCGAAGTTAAAGCCTCGAAAAATTTTGCTATAAGACTATTTACTGCACTGCCTTATAAGAAGGACTTTGTTTTTTGTTACGTGTACGTATACTAATATTATAAAGACGAGAGTTTTTTTTGTTTGTTTGTTTGTATCGAATAACCTCCGAAACTACTGGACCGATTTCGATGAAATTAGATAAGAAGATAGTTTGAGACCCTGGGAAAGACCGGATAGTTCTTATCCTGAAAATCATCCCTTAAGGTGGTGAAAATGGGGATGAAAGTTTGTATGGCGAATCAAGCTAGGGACGCATCTGAGCGAAGCGAGAGTGAGTCGCTAGTATTTAATATTTATACATTTACATTGTTGGTCTAGTAGCTTAGTATGTACAGCAGTAGATCCGGCGTTCCTGGGTTCGAGTACCGGGTCGAGTCAAGTATAGTTATTGAGTCTTTCTGTTAAGAAATCCTTAGTAGCCCTGAGTTGGGAAGTTACATTTCCGTGCCTCGGAGAGCACGTAAAGCGTTTTTGGATATTTTTGCGGTTTTATTTTGATTTATAACTCAAATTCCTTTCACAGTTGTTCGAGATCTAGTTTTTTTTATTTCAAAACTACACCTTCTAATAATAATTAATAATTACTACTGTTCATTATTGAAAATTTGAGGATACCAAATATGAATAGAATTTACCTATCTATATAAAAAAACTATTTCCAATTTTTTTATCGATAACACTGTTTTGTCTTTGCCTATTTAAATTATCTTCTATACATATGTATAATATCAATTCTACAATAAAAAAAAAAGAATCTGTACTCTCAATATTTTTTGGAATATCTTATTGAAATAGTTATTTCTATAGATACCGAGGCCTAATCTACAGTTTTTGGAATTTTCGTCTGTCTGCTGGGAAGTGGGAATGCATCACGAGAAGACCACAGGACAAATTATGATGAAATTTGGTATGATTATAGCTGATAATCCGAATCAACATATAGGATACTTTTTATTGCAGGAAAATATCTCATCTCTGAAAAATATATACTAACCGTTATAACGTAATTGAGGACGAACCCGAACGGAGCGAGAGTGGGTCGCTAGTATAGATATAAATCAAAAAAAAAGTCATTTTAAATAAACTTAAAAAATACACTCTCAAAGTAACCTAAACCACTCTCCCAAGGGACTAGACAGCACTCACAATTTCATTTTGAACCCCATCGAATTTTCACCTACGACCTTTACTTGATCAAACGGCAAGTAAGTGAAATTCGATAACAAAATTTACTGTTGCAGGAACAAAACAAAATAGAAAAAAGCTGAATAAACCAATTTAATATATACATCTAGATATTTATGGAATATATTCTTGAGAAAGCGGGTTCGACTCGCGCGCACCTCTGATATTTTCATGTGACAAAAATTTTCATCATGATACCACTTATCTTACGGTGAAGGAGAACATTGTGAGGAAACTTGCATGTCTGAGAGAACCTAGAAAGTTCTCGAAAGACATGCTCAGTCCGCCCGCACTTGGCCAGCTTGGTGGACTATGGCCTGATCCCCCTCATATTGAAGCCCGTGCCCAGCAGTGAGACGTTAAAAAGGGCTGAATAAAATAAAATACATATGTAGAGTGCATATTGAGATTTAGTACAAACGTAGGTCTTATCAGGAGCAAAGAAAATTACATTTTAAATAAAACTATCTTTTCGGATTTTTTCGCGAATTTATTTTGATTTTTGGTTCCCGACGTTTCGAATTCTTTACAGCAATCATGGTCACGGGAGAGATTGTCTTATTTAAAATGTCAAGTATTCGCGTAAATCTAAGAAAGTACTAAAAGAAAAATTAGTTTAAATTAATGTCAATAGATGGCGTTATATGCACTGATTTGTTATTAAATTATGTAAAACAATAAAAGAAAAAGAATTAAATTCCGTAACCGGTATATTTTAGTTTTAAAAATCACTGTACGTAAAATAATACGAAATAATACGAAAATGCAAAAATTCAATCAACCAGATGATTTAAAAATCATATATCTATTAGGTAATAAGTTTGTACTACGTATTCATTTGTAGGTAGCGCCGTTCCATGTTTTAATTTAATGAGTATTTTACTACTATTGGAAACTATTAAAATTACTGAAATTTCATTTAATTAAAGGAAAAATGAATAACATATGTAAAGTTATATATCTATTATATTATTTAGTTAAATATTATATATGTTATATGTTTTAATAGAAATATCTACATTCATAAAATAGTACAATAGTATTTTGATCAACGCCATCTACTGTCTTTTTAGCGAATAAACTGATCCCAAAGAACTAACAGGGCGTTCAAAATTCACGCGCAATGCGATAACAAGTGCAGCCTCCTAGGCTATTTTATCGCTGCGATACTGACCCCCTGACTAAGGCGTTAAATTTTCACCTTGTCGTGGTGGGGGGGCTTATTAGCGTCTAAAAACGCATTGGGAGGTGGTCCAATTTGATGGACGGTGTGCCATGCTCCTGGGGTTGCTCCTGGTCTTTCTCTGATAGCAGAGTGAAGCGATAGAGCAACCCTATGGCTGTTGTGGTCTGCTTCGACAGACCTGCCGTCGCAGCGTCTTGGTTTAGTGCGTATGTGATCCTGCGACGACTTATTAAGAAAGGGGAGGTTCTGTTGGGTTTTGATATAGGCTTTGCCGGTGAGTCCCACGTAACCACCTGTGTTTATGTAAGTGGTATGCGTAAATGTATTTCCCAAGATTAAAAAAGAGGGTTTTCATTTTTACTCTAATAGATAAATCATTGTGTTAAACCGACATATAAAATACAAACCATTCTCATAACCAGGAACTGAGGAATTCAATATCCTCTAAAATTGTCCCCATAAAATACGGGGAATTCCCTGCGAATCAATAACTTTTTAAACTATGCCATCACATAAAAATACTAGCGACCTATCTCCACTATTTATTTTTATCGCTTACTAGCGACGCTTAGTACAGATTTCTCAGAGATGAGATATTTTCCCGCAGTAAAAAGTATCCTATATGTTGACCCGGATAACCAGCTATCATCATACCAAATTTCATCAAAATCCCTCCAGTACTTTTTTCAGACAGACAGACAGACATACAAACATTCTAAAGACTATAGATTCGTCCTCTGCATCGATAATAATCTCTAATTCAATAAGATATTCCAAAAAATATTTAATGTGCAGATTCGATTCAGTTTTTAAAAATTTATTAAATGTATAGATAGGGTTTTTTTCCAGAACTTTATAGTTCTATGTCTGTATGATACGTGGGCGATAAGTTTAATCACGATTAGTTTAGGCATTAAAACGTCAGTTAAACGTATGGTGGTCCAAAATAACAACTCAGTTTGAAGGAAAGAAGATAACAATATTTATGCTAAAATTTAAGGAAAAAAAACTGATGGATTTTAACTTAGCATGATTTTTTTAATCTAAATATTGTCATTTACTTATTCGAAATTTTGTAAATGTCCAAATTATATTAATTGGTCTTTCTAATTTTTTTGATCCCACAATAGTTACACGAATATTTGAAATTTCAAATAAACCAATTTTTTTTACAAAAGTACGTACCTAATAAAACAGCGGCATGTAAAACATCAAATATTCGCTTAAATCTAAGAAATTATGTCTTTAAAACACTTGAAAAACCATAACCTCCCTTTGAAGCAGTCGGGTAATAGAAAAATTCTTTGTCCCTGTAGTAGCTAACAGTTTCAACAGTCTCGCAGAATGTGCCATTCATAGTGGTATAAAACATTTTACGAGCGCCCTGTTTGAATTATTTCAAAGTATACCTGCTATACATTTAAGTAAGGAGAGATAGCGAAAAAAAAAATTAATACTAGTAACCTTTTCGTCCGTATGTATGTTTATTATAGATGTATATAATTTTACAATAATGTATGAAAGTCTGCCTTATTTGTTTACATTTATGATTACTGCTCTGCTTCCTTGGGTAGTGGCATGATGATATCTAACCTATAGTCCTGCTGATTAAACGGGCTATCTAATTGAAAAAGAATTTTTCATATCGGATTAGTAGAGTCTGAGATTAGCGCGTTCAAACAAACAGACAAACAAACAAACAACACAAACAAACTCTGCCTCTTTATAATATTCCTAAATAAAATTTAAAAAACTGTCAAAAAGATATTCCTATTAAATGTAACAACGCTATGTGCACGTACCTAGGGACGCACCCGAGCCAAGCGTGATCGTGATTCTGTGATCGTCCCTACACTATTTAAAATTTTGAATATTCATAATATTCTAAATTGCACTGAAGTTCTACTGGAAAAAAGTTTCATTTTTTCTTTGATACTCGAAATGTTAATTTTTTTAGTAACTGCTTATACATTGTACCACACATAAAAACAAACATGTCGGGAACGATGGCGCCCGGCGTGGGGCAAATCCACTTTAAATTTAAAATTATCAGTCTTTTATGCCTAAAACTATTTCTAGACAAAATTTCAGTTCTTTGTACTTCTAAAACGATGTTTGAGAGCAAAAGAATGAAAAAAAACTGAATAAATATGTTGGGACATTAACACATAGCACCATCTAGTTCCATGGTAAGCTACGAGGTTTATATATATATATATATATATATATATATATATATATATATATATATATATATATATATATATATATGAGTGTGTGTGTGTGTGTGTAATTTAGAATACAAACCTATTATAAATATAAACACCCATGACTGGAGTACGAACTTTTGTGCTCATCACACAAATGAATGCCCCCAGCGGAACACGAAGCCGCGACCACTGGCACAGCAAATAGGGTTACTACAAACTGAGCTAAACGTGTCGTAAATACATATTATGTATATTTATACATTTGATTATGGCACTGTTTTTTTATACTACATTAATTTACTTCCTCTATTGGCCGTATTTTCTTATCATATTAAGATTTTATTATCTAACTCATTTAATAACTTACATTCCAAAATAAGTCAAACATTTCATTGTGTCACACTACACCACAATTCAATTCAATTATTTGTTCTATAGCTTATGGGCGTGCTATCTGGCGGGCGTGTTAAGGCCGCTGTACACATTGCGCCAACATGCTGGGCCAGCATATCGAATCCCAAAAGCCGCTGCTTACACATTGGCGTATTGGTCATCTTGCTTTGGCACTGACAAAAATGGACGCGGTAACTCTTGCAGTCGCGGCAATTTATTTATACAATAGGTTGATCTTATGTTGTGTATGCTTCGGGTTCCATATTATCGGTTCATTTTGGTATATTTCTATAAATTTTAAAACCTCATTGCTTGTCCACTCCGCCATCATCGCCCTAACAACAACAACACGACTGTCTGTACTAACGAATAACAATAAACTAAATAAGACGCCAACGTGTGAACACTGTTTGCGGTGCGCGCCAAGCCCCTTTGATGTGTGAACGAAAACCCGACAATTTGGTTGGCTGGTCAATGTTGTCGCCAACAACCAACATACCGCCAAGTCTCTACGCGTTGGCTCTACATGCTGGCCCAGCACCTTAGCCCAATGTGTACAGCAGCTATAACGACAGATGCAATAGATGATGAGATGTCAAAACGTCATTAATGTTTTGTAAACACAGCGTTTCTAAAGTTATTATTAAATAAACTTTACAAAACCCGTCGCCTTTAAAAACTGAAGGCTTCGACGAAACAAAATGTCACTGAATAACCGGTTTAATTAAAAAGTTTTTTCACTTTTAGAGCAGGTAATGAATCCTAGGAAATGTCCGACAAGTTCCGTGGAACGGAAAAAAATCTTAAATGAAAACGCAGACATTCTTTGTGTTTTGGCTAAATCTTTTTAATATTTATGTTTTTCTTCACTCTGTATCCCATGAGATAGACGGACAGCACTTTTGACATATCTAATATATATAAATTGTCTGATACTTCCTCGGTGCTCTAGTGGCTAGTAGTAGTGGTAGCATGTACGGCCGCAGATTCGGAAGTCCTGGTATCGAGTCCGTGGTCACACCAAGTTCAGTTTTTGAGTATTTCTGTCAAGAAATTCTCGGAAACAGCCCGGAGTTGGGAAGTTGACGGTGTTTCACTCCCGTGCCTCGGAGATCACGTAAAGCCGTCGTTCCTGCGCCTTAACTCTCACCGGTCGTGTCTCGTGTCGTCCCACTGGAGTATGAAAATGACAGGAATAGAGAGTGCAATTGTATCTGCACGTAACTTATGCACTATGATATCTCCTGCGCTGAGTAGTCTCAATAAGATTTGTCTAATCCAAAAAAAGAACTCAGTCCTCATGAAAATCATTTAGAATTCAGAAGAAATTCAGGTTTTTCGAGGACCAATGGTGTAATTTTACCCAATCCCAAAATTTCAGAGGCCACCTTGAAAGACCACTTGACCAACGAGATAATCAGTAAGTCAAATTTAGTAAATTTTAACCGATTTTAGGAGAAACGGTATTCGGGAATTATATGTTTTAGTTTTGACTTATGTTACACGATATTCGCAAATTGTAAACCGTTTCTTAGATTTACGCGAATATATGAATAAAGTTTTAAATAAAACTATTTTTTCGAATTTTTTCGCGGATTTATTTCGATTTTTCGTTCGTCAATGCGAAGGGGGCCAGGCCAAACGCGAGCAGACTGAGCATATCTGCAGACAACTTGCTAGGTTCTCTCAGACAGGCAGGTTCCTCACGATGTTTTCCTTCACCGTAAAACTAGTGGTGATCATGTTGGAAATGATTCGCACATGAGAATATCAGAAGTGTCAGGGCTTGTACCTGCTTCACTCGGTTTTCCAAGCAGACGCGCTACCACTGGACTAGCGCTGTCTTAAGTAATTAAACCTTCCAGAAAAATCTCTAAATGACAGTTTAAAAGAACTAACACAAACAAGTAGAAATAGCAACTTTGTTTTATACTATTTAATGTTACGCTTTTAATTATTTGTCGAATTAAAAATATTTCAACTCAGCACTTTGTTCTCATCCTGAATGCATTTTTCATTTAAAACATATTTAGTTTATAATTTAGTTTCATAACAAGCGACTTATTCTCGCTTCACTCGAGATTTACTTTTTAATTAGATATAAATATATATTTATCAGTCAGCGTTGGCTATGTAAATTATAATTTTTTTCCTAAAATTTTCTGACGTTTTAATAGTTATTCTGCTATTCGGGGCAGAGATAAAAGATCATAAAAAAACATTTTTTTTATATATTAAAGTTCTAAAATGTTTCTATAATTTTACAAATTGAAATTATGTAAAATGAAATGTCGCTAATCAAAAAGTAAAAGAAAACTGCGAAAAATATAAAAAAACGGCTTACCTTCTTTTTCCTCAGATCTTTAGGCGCCTAACAGTAGCCTATGTGTCACTCCAGCTCATAGTCTATCTGTGTACTAAATTCCATACAAATCGGTCCAGCCGTTACAGCGTAAAGGAGCAACAAACATACACACATACATACAAACTTTCACATTAATATAAATAATGTCATGAAAAATGGAGAAATTAAATTCTGTTCTTTTGTAGGACTTGTATTATAACTAAACAAAACTTGTTTACATTGAAGCGTATACATAAAAGTGTCATCAGACTTACTGAAGCGATATTTCGCTACCTTTACGCATATCTATACAGATAAATACAATTGAAGTGTCTGTATGTAATGTCAAAATAACAGCTGTTTCTAAATGAATAATATGAAAGTATATCTGTCTGTCTATCTAGTTGTTCCGGCTAATCTCCGAAACGTCTGGACTGATTTTGACGGGACTTTCACTGGCAGATAGCTGATGTTATAAGGAGTAACTTAGGCTACTTTTATTTTAGAAAAAGAATTAGGGTTCTGCTCAAAATTTCAGTTTTCAAGTTTGGATGACAATGCATGGTTAGCTAAGCGACGTCAATTTTAGAAGGTCTACCAAAGATGGCGGACTAATTTTTTTATGCAACTGGAGTTACATAAATCATGGATGATATGGATATCAAATGAAACGGTTTGCTGAGAATACGAATAAATACCTGAAAAATGAATAAATAAACTTTGAATTTAATAAAACTCATTTATTACATTACACAATTTATACGATATAAAAGCTTGTTTGTCTGTAAACTTAGATAATGAAAGCTGTTTTTTTTTTGTTTCAGATATTGCTGCTTTAAAAATAATAAAAATTAGTCAATCTGGATTCCAAAAAGAGGTAATTTGTACTTTTCAATTTTTTATTTATTCTTAGTTCTTACCCTCGGTTTCACTCGCGTGATACGGAGCTGGGAACAAAGCCTATATCTTGTCCCAGGATGTAATCTATGTCCTCATACAAAAATTCTACAGAAAATAGCACTTTCAATTTCTACAGGAATGTTAAAATATTCAGTTTTTATACATTTTTAAACCGACTTCAAAAAAGGTAGATACTCAATTTGTTTACACAATTTGGGAAATTTGGGAAAAGCTGAAAATGGGTTGTTCCAACGGTCCACTCTGCTATCAGAGAAGTACCAGGAGCAACCCGTATTGCACACCGCACATTGGATCGCCTCCATGTGCGTTCTTGGCTTCGTGGTCGGCTGGATTGCCGGACGCTAATGAGTCCCCCCATCGCGAGGCAAGTAGCACCTGTGACCTGCCTGATCTAGGTTTATGTAAGCCTACACATAATCACTTTGACGACACTGACTGTATAGTATAAGGAAAATTATAAGAAATTGGCAAGTCCGAGTGGGATTCACGTACCAAGTGTTCCACGAAATAAAATATTGTGTTTTAACATAATTTGTTACGTTGAAGTAAAACAAAATATTTACCCATCTACAATATTCATTTCATCGGCAGCAAAAATAAGTTTGTTTCTCATATTTTATAACAAACAAGTTAAAAAAATACTTAGTTTTATGAACGAACGCTTGGGCCTGAAAATATCTTTTTCTCGTATTTTTCCTTTACTATTTATTTCGGTTTTGTATTTTAAGAACTGGCTTCTTAACTTAATGATCGTGTTTATGATTACGTTGACTTCGAATCTTATAAATATATACATTTTTACAGCTACTAGGCAGAGCCGTCTTATGCCATAGAAGGGCCCCGGGGCATAACAATTTAGGGCCCTTTTTAAAAGTAAGCTAAAAAGATATAAATATAAGATATAAAGATAGTAAACGAAAATGTTGTCTTTTCGGGGCTCCCGTAAAGCCGGGGCCCTGAGCATGTACTCCGTGTGCCCTTATGGTAAAGACGAAACTGCTAGGACCATAAATATTATATTTCATATTAATTTTCACTCGATCCCTTCAAGCTTTCCTGAGAAAAAGGGTCTTGACAGACTGTTAGACAGATAACAAAGTGTTCCTTAAGATGATAAGGGTTCCCGCTTTTTGTTCACAGGTATGTAACCTTAAAAATCCTAAAATATATATTATGTATATTTTTTTAATTACGAAAACAAGCGTATCCGTTTGCAACAATATGTTTTTTAAAACCACCTTTTCTAACATGTTGGGGTAAACATTTTTTACATCCCCATCCCACAACTTGCTGAGGGTGGCTTACCTTAGGGAATGAACTAAATTATTTTTTTTATTTGCTTAAACCACCCTTCGACTATTTTCTGGTCATTTACTCGAAGGTGTGGTGAATTTTTTTTCTAACAACAAAAAATTATACCGATTTTGTTGAAAAAGATATTATGTTTTGTTTTATAGCACTAATATTATAAAGTTTGTATTTTTTGTTGGGACATTATGTTGGTACATTAACACACAACACCATCTAGTTCCATGGTAAGCTACGAGGCCTGTTTTATGGATACCAGATAGTTGATACACAACACATAATATATAACTGGAGTACAAACATTCGTGCTCATCACACAAATGAATGCCAGCGGGACTCGAACCCCCACCGCTGGCACAGCAAGTAAGGTCACTACAAACTGCCACAAAAGGGGCGTCGAATATATGTATAGATTTAGAATACTATGTATTTTTATCACTTGACCTTACCTTGACCTTTGAAGGCATGACATGAAAGTTGCTAATTAAATTTGAGCATCGTTGCACTTCTAATGACTTAATTTACTGAGATCTCATAAAATTGGGCATCAAACAAATTGAGTGCAAGAGTAAAGAGCAAAACTTCTAATTAGAATTGCTATGTCTGTGTAGTTAAGGGAGGTGATTTTTTAAATTATCAGAAAAATGTCAAATTTACCCATTACGCATGGACCAAAGAAAGTATTTATATAACAGATATTCGTATGTGTGTCACTGAACTCGTCCTAAATGGCTGGACCGATTCTGATGATATTTTTGTGTACGTTTGAGTGGATTCCTGGCTTCAATTAAAAACTGGACCCGGTAGGTGGCGCAGCAGTCATGTTCTAGGATGTTATGTGAAGACTGGTGAATGCAAAACAGTCAAAAAACGTCTGTCGGTTCCAATAGTAGAAAAAAAATTTATAAGTAAAATATTTTACAAACAAAGATACATTAACTTTAAAATTTATTTAATCATATCCAAATATGCATGAAAAAGTCTTGATGACATTTTAAATAATAATTTCTTTACGCAAATATTTGACATCCCTACTAATCTACACTTCTATACAATAAAGAGGTAAACTTTGTGAGTTTGTGACGTTGTAGTGGGTAATCTCTGGATCTACTGAACCGTTTTAGATGAAATTCGGTAAGAAGATAGTTTGAGACCCTGGAAAGGGCATAGGATAGTTTTTATCCCGTATATCATCTCTTAAGGGGTGAAAAGAGGGATGGAAGTTTGTATGGGGAAACAATCATTTCTCAAGGGATATATATATATATATATATATATATATATATATATATATATATTTAAAGTACTTTTCTGTACCTATGTATATTGTACATATACATATATAGACTACTATTCCATAATAACCGCTAAAACATACCTAAAACTATCGTTTCGGTATTTTTTGCGGATTTATTTAGTTTTTTCTATATAACTATTTGCAAATCTATTATCGAATTCACGACCAATCCCCCATTAAACATTACCACAGCACTATAAGAATTTATATTAATTATTTTCTAAACTATTTGAAAAATGGGGTGGCCCCCTTATAATGGGCTGTAGTCAGTCTTCTTCTGACATTACAGTGCGAAGGACGTTTCATAGACTAGTGCAGTTTTTTGGCTTCACGTGATCATAAGCTTTACTGTGTCCGTTTTGATAGTGTTTAACTTTAGACTTTGTGCAAATCATACATAATTGTGGTTGCATTTGGATGTTTGATTTAGGTAAGTTTTATCTAATACTTAATATTATAAATGTGAAAGTGTGTTTGTTTGTTTGTCCTTCTTTTACGTCGAAACGAAATTATGTATTGGCGTGTGGATATAGTTGGAGGGCTGTAGAGTGACAAAGGCTATTTTTTACCGCGGGAGATTATGTCATTCCCACGGGAAAACACGTTTTAATACAACCCAAAAAATATTTGTGATCAGAATTACTTGAAACTTAGTAATAATGTTCTTCGATACAATTAAATAAATACAAGTTTGAGGATTTTTCGAAATTCATCCCATAAGGGCGTAAAATAGGGCATGAAGGTTTGTATGAAACTTACCTTTTTAGAGATTTTTTTTAGTTCTAGCGCGGGCGAAGCCGCGGGTTCTGCTAGTTTATAATAAAATTCTGAGTTAAATCTGTATATTAAATACTTTTTGAAAAATCATATCGAAATAGTCCTTATTATCGATACAGAGGCCGAATCTATGGTTTTTAGAATTTTTGTCTGTCTGTCTTGGAACGCATCACGAGAAAACCACTGGACAGATTATGATGAAAGGTATGATGATAGCTGGTTATCCGGGTCAACATATAGGATTGGTACTTTTAACTGCGGGAAAATATCTCATCTCTAAGAATCTCTAAGAAAATCTATACTAAACGTTAAAACGAACCTATTTATTGTATTTATTTATATAATGTTGGGCTTATAAAATATTTTTTTAATACATTCATTTAAAAAAAAAAAAAATTATTTAAATTGTCTGATTTCTTTTCTAGAATGGCAACCGGTTTGGAAAACCGAGTGAAGCGGGTTCAAATCCCGGGTCTCGCACCTCTTATATTCTCATGTGCATATCATTTCCAATATTACTATTTATGCTACTATTCTCGATTCTGCCATACACATCGTTTACTTTCTTTAGTGAATAAGGGAAAGTTTATTTATGTACTAGTCATTAATTATGATTTTTAAGAAGAAAATGTGATACACTAGCGATTTATCCTCGCTACGCTAGGTACGTTTTAATTTTTTCAGAGGAATCCTAATTCTTAATCTAAAATAATAGTAACTCCTTATAACATCAGCTATCTGCCAGTGAAAGTCCCGTCAAAATCAGTCCAGCCGTATCGGAGATCAACCGGAACATACAGACAGACAAAAATTTTTTTTCTTATATTTCATAATTTCATATGCATTTAGTTAAAAGCTGTTATTTTAACATTACACACAGACACTTCAATTTTATCTGTATAGATAACGAATAATAAGATACAACTGTTTTTGTTGTATTTAGTTGTTTATTTATTTATTTAAATAAATAAATAAATTAGTTTTTTCCACTTGAAAGAGATAGTATAATATTAGCTTATTTATTTTACTTTATTATAATAAAATCCTTTCGCTATTTGTATTTATTTATTTACTAACATTTATTTACTTACCTCAGTAATGAGTATTCTATCAATATTTGTATACTGTTTTAAAACATTTGGCAAGCAATATCTAATTATCCTACGTGAGATCCAACCAGACATTAGTTCCACACATTGATATATAAAAAATATTCCGTGCCGGTGTAATAAGCTTTATTCAATAAATATATTTTTAATTTTAGACTTAAACTAGTAAATATGTCGTTTAAAGTACATATAAAAATTTATAGAGGAGTTGATTTGTCTCCTCTCGATTTTCAGTAGGACCCTGTGTAAATATTAACACAGCACCATCTAGTTCCAAGCTACGAGGCCTGTATTATGGATACCGGATAGTCGAAACACTACACATATAACTTTAAATATATACATATTTTAAATATGTATATATTAGCCATTACTGGAGTACAAACATTCGTGATCATCACACAAATGAACGCCTCCAGCGGGAGTCGAACCCACGACCGCTGGCACAGCAAGTAGGGTCACTAC